TCAAGGGCTAAAAATCTTGGCATTTTTGACTGTGCTTTGGAAAGAAACCCAGCTTCCCAGCAGCATAACCGAGCCTGCACGGTGGGAAATGGTGGAAACGTGACATAGCTCTTGTTGCTTTCTCACTTCATGTTGCCAGTTAAAACTGTGCTTCTGCAAGGAAGGGGCTTCTGTGAATGAGGATCGCAGCTGTCTGATTTGGTCTGATTCCAGATGTTCATAGTTACTGGCACTGATGAAATCCTCAGGATTTCCACAGTCCCGGGTCGCACAGGCTCTCAGCATGCGCTGGATATTGATAACCAATTTCTTACCTGAAGTCCTTGGAGCTGGATGTGTTTTGGAATTGAGTTATGCATGTTTTAGAAAGATGATAAAATGCCTTTCCTGTATCTCATAGGACATCCTCAGCCGGTGGGGGCAGCCCTCAGTAATCAAACACGTTCATACTCCTGCAGAAAAATGTACGCGTATTTCTCCCAGTGGGCTGCAAGAAGGCAGGTGCTATAGAGTTAAATGTCTTCATGTAGTAATATACTGGTAAATTAAATTGTGTGAGGATAGACCACCCGACTCCCAGGGTACTGCCGATCTCTACAGAGAACATGAGGTGTAGCCAATTCAAAATAAAGAAGATAACCTGTAATGTATGTCCGTGGTCTGCAGATGCTTGAGTACCTTTGAGAAGAAGGTGCTTAAGAGTCACCATAGTCTGCCCACCATGTACTATTTGGCCCTGTGATGATGATGGTGAGAGAGCAAGATTCTGCAGAGGCAAAATGGAAATGTGAAAATCGACCCTCTCAAAGACTTCTGTCACGATCTGACTTGTAAACCTAGTGTTTCTTCTGAGCGGTCTGTCTCTTGTGGAATCAGTTGCCATAATCTCTGGTTCTTGAGGCCAGTGATGAACAGATCACACATCGTGGCCATATCCAGTCAGGGGTTGGCACACATTTTCTGTGTAAGGCCACGTGCATGGTAAATATTGTTGGCTTTGCACATTCTGGGGTCAGTGGTGAGGTGACAGTGCAGAATCAGCCATCGACAGTAAGTAAATGGATGTGCACGGCTACGTTCCAATAAAACTTTATTGACAAAAAAACAGGCAGTGGGCTGGATTTGACCCAGGGGTCATAGATTGCCAACCAACCCATTCTACATGATTTTTTTTCACTATACTTCACAGTTCCGTGCTCATGACCACCACCATTATCCTTGTATTAATCAGTACATAGTGACGAAAGAGCTGAAGGACATGTTCATCCACTCTTGAGGGAATACAAAATTGTGTGGTCACAAGGCCATACTGCAGATTTCATACTAAAGAAGAAATAAGTCCTTCAAATGGGATGTTTCACGAGAAGTTTGTGAGAA